TTGTGTCAAATTACTTTATTCAATCTAATATTGAGTTGCAAATTCTGCAGTAGTTCTTAACACTGTGGTACTCTGCAGGGCTCAGGATGAACAACATGCACAGGAGGTTTCCAGGTTCCAAGAGGAGCTGGCTGAGGCCCATTCACAGCTCCAGATCCTCCAGAAACAACTAGATGAGGAACTGTCCAAACAGCCCCTCACTAACCAGGAGGTAAGGATTCTGAGCAAGGGTTAGACTTTAGTATATCTATAGTATATCTTCACAAAGCGAAGCCATGGTACACCTAATATGACACACAATGAATGGAGTTTGTTGATTATAATAGTTTATAGGGTTACAGTTCTTTAAAACCAGTTACAGCCTTAGATTGACCCATCTCTTGTTGTTATTGGAGAACATCTCTCTGTGACACTGATGTCTAACATCGACCGCTTGTTCAGGTTGAGGACCTGAAGTGGGAGGTGGAGCAGAGGCAGAGGGAGATAGAGGCTCAGAAGCAGCAGCTGGAGATGATGGAGGAGTGTCAACACAGGGAGCTGGACAACCTACAGAGAGCTCTGCAGGCAAGTATTCACTTGAGTGTAAATTATAAACAAACGCAAAGCTCCCAAGTATACCTCACTTCTTAACTAGATGTTGAATAAAAAATAAAATGTTGCCATATTTGCAAATGCACAGGATTACTTTTGCTAAAGTAAACAGTTTGTTACAAACAGTGTTCATGACTAACAAAGATTACTTTCTGTCTCAGAGCATCAAAGTGGAGCTGGAGTCGGTACAGGAGGAGCTGAGCGGCACCCGGAAGGACAAGTTTATGCTGCAGGCCAAAGTGGGCGAGCTGAGGAACAGCATGAAGACGGTCCTGCTGCAGAACCAGCAACTCAAACAGGACCTCAAACAGACCCGTCTGAGGAAGGTAGGGCCCCTTACTTTTCTCATGAAAGTGAGAAATTGTTATTTCCTGTGACAGTTTTAGTGCGTTTGTAGACACAGCACTGCCCTGCCAGCAAATGTTTGTACACATTTGAATGGTATTTGCATTTGCTTATTTGTCATAATTTACGCCAACATATCAAATGGGCCTACTCATATAATGGTCAGACTCTAATTTGAGTTGCTCTTTAATTGTCGTCTATGGCATTAAGGCTTACAGATGCTTAGAATATTTAACATTACTAAAATATATCAGCTTTCATCAGACACAATTTAAAAAAAGACATTATAACTGCAGTAATTAAAAAATAATGTCAGTATTTTTAGCATTTCACATGGATAGCAGTGAGAACTGGCTGGTTTTTACACAACTGGGGTATTAGAAATGCTTATAAAGCCCCTATCCTCTCTATATAAATATTTAATGGCCAAAGTATAATACCAAATAAGAAGTGCCTGCTGAAGATAAATGACTAAATACATCCCTGTAATGATGGTTTTGTTGGAGCAGCAGCGCATGGAACTGAAGAGTGAGGGGAACCCATCCAACCCAGTGACTCCAGTCAAGATCCCAGACTGCCCAGTGCCTGCCTCTCTGTTGGATGAGTTGCTGAAACCATCAACTTCTGTCAACAAGGAGCCCCTCAACAACCTGCACAACTGTCTACGGCAGCTCAAGTAAGACTCAAATGACTCGGTTAACATTATCAACATACCTACATGACTACCTACTTTTTGTTACTGTGCTGAGCATCTATCCAAATGCCAGAATGTATTCAGTCTGTAATGATTCTTTTTTCACAGGGAGGAGATGGACAGCCTCCAAAGGCAGATGGAGGAACACACAGTAACGGTACATGAGTCAATGAGCTCGTGGACAAACACAGAGGAGGAACTGGCTCAACTGGGGATTCAAAACATCTCCAAATCATCAACACCACTAAACAACATGGTGGCGGAAAATAACAATGAAGCTGAAGAGCCGCAATCATAACAGAAGAACTTTTCTCAGGCCAATAGAGGGAGAGTGGAGTTTTATCCACAAAGGCACTTTTAGCCCCTTATTCCCTTTCTCTTTTCTTAACAATTGCTGCCAACATTTGGCATTCTCCCATCAGCACAGAAGTGCTTTCGCAGAGTAATACTTTATATACCATAGCTTTATTCTTTGCTCTTTATTTGACGGTTGTTTATATTTTGTTATGCTGTTGTCACATTTATTTATTTAGAGTTAAGGAATGACAACTTATCTGACAGCCTCTCCAAGAGGATCCCCCATCTTCAGTTTTGTTATAGATACACATGGTCTAGTTGTTTAACTGATCTGTTGGGCCAGTTTTCCCCTGTTGAGTCAGCAGTTTTCCACACTAAAAGGTATTTAGTCATCATCCGCCTCGTAATATGAAATCAGTGGCTTGGATGCTGCTTCATAATGGCTGACATTATTTCAAAAAGTGTTTTTAGTGACAGAAACAAACCATGATTCTGCACAGACTGGCTATGAACTGTTCTTCCATTTCTTTGTGCCTGTGTACAAGCAAAGTTGCTCATATATGATTTAACTGAGGTGATTGGTTTCACATCCACATGGTTTCCAAGCAGTTATTGATGAAACATCATCACTCCTCTTCATGAAGTTAAGTCGTGCACAATTGTGGTCAGTTGTTTTTGTATCGCCTCGTGTTAAAATGCAGTGTTTCTTACATTGGTTGTAACCATATCACCTTTGGGTTCTTAAGCTCTAAAAACATTAATCTCAGTTCTCTATGGAGGTGTTTTGTCTAGCATGGACTGCAGTAATCTGTACTCAAAAAAGCCTTAAGCAATCTTGAATATGCTGTAATGGTCTAAGTTGGTTTGAATGAGTGTATTTCTGCTTAGGGTGTGTGCAAGATGTAACATGTTGTATTGTATATGCGTGCAAATCCTTACTGAAGAATGGTGTGTTGTAAAATAAGTGGGTTACATCAACTGACATTGCACAGAAAACTTTAAGTGACTGAGTGAGAAAGTTGTAAGATGAAGCAGAAATTGTACTTCTTCTAACAGCAGGTGCAATCAGATGTGTTCATTTTCTGTTACGTTTGGTACATACTCTATTTACAAAAAAAATGATTACCCCTGAATCAGATGTTATACTTGTTTTATGGATGTTTCATGGGTAAGGGAATAAGTTTATTGTTTCCAGAGGTTAATATATAAATACACTTCCTTTTTTTGTATGATTGTAAAGTCATAATTGTTTAATAGTGTAACAAAGATAAAATACAAGATCTCAAATACAAACCATAAATCAAAGCTGATAGTATTTCTGCTACAGCTGCACTAAACCTTCAGTGGAGAGGGGTCATTGGCTGGTACAGTAGCTTTCTGCATGCAACTGTGCTACAGCTGCTGTGTTGCTGATCATTCCCACACTGAAAAACTTTTTTTTTTTTTTAAAAACACCGTTGTATGCTTGTGAATTTCCAAAGGGACAATAAATATTTTGAGGAATGCTTATTGAGACAAATAACAACAAATATATTGATATACTGTGTACTGAAAAATATTTTGGACTGTATCTTCCAAACTACCTTTCACTGTAACGTTAGGTAGTATGTAATAACATTGCTAGGGTACCTGCGCTCAATGCATAAACCTTGCCGTATCTGCTTTTTTTTTTCTTTTTCAAAGATTGGAATTGATTCATTCCTGTTTTAACATTTGTGTTGGGAGATGTGATTGTATTTATCATAAAATTGCACTATTCATCTGTCATGGCAGTTTGTGCTCATTCAGTGAATACTGTGTACAAAGACTATAAATATGTCTCAAGTTCTGCCCTATTCCCCCACATTTACGCCGTCATTTTGTTCAGGCGCTATGTTAGACGGAACCGGGTCCTCGCTCTCTGCATTTTGAAACCGTCGCGGTGAGAAGACACCTAGCAACAGTAGCCGGGGAGAGAGGAGGAGGAGGTGGGCATGGCACTATATATAAAATATATTTTCAACCAGCAGTTCACTACAGTTAACGGTGGTAACTTGTTTTATGGTTATGTGTGCGGTAAGAGTGAAAACTGTTCTTACCGTACGAATGAACATGCGCTATTGCTAACCGGTGGCATGAGTGATTAGCTTCCTGCTTCGCTAAGTGGCTAATGACTGTTAGCATGCCTGTCAAACTACAAAAGCGTCCAATACTGGACCGTGCAGCCAACGTTGTCCTCGCGTTAGTTGTCTTTGCTTCGACCATTAACAAAGATTGGTCTCTATATAACGTTATGTAACTCGTGTTTCTTTTTTTCTGCTATGAGAATCTTGAGAATCGTCAGGACTTGTTTTTGGTTTGCTTCATACATGCCCGGCCAAGTTGGCCTGCATACAAGGGATTGTGCCAACACGAAACATCTTTATTGTGTTTATACCAACATTACATGTCCACCAATTCGTCATTTGTATTAACCTTAAATAGGTCAATGTGTTACTCATGAAACCCCAGACGTGAGCTCGCTAGGTTATCGTTTCCTTGGATTAGTCACGTCTGCTGTGTGAGAGCATGATGCTACATTCACAACTCTGGGAAAGTATGTAAATATGAGAGACGTACTCAAATGTTTTTTCGTTTGTTTGTTTTTTTTTTTTCATGGACCTGCTTTGTGAGATTCATGATGTAATAGAACACGAATTGCGTCTGATTAACGTAATTTGTTGTGGCATGGCTTTTAACAGGAAGTGTTAAAAGTAGTTTGATATTGATATTGTAGCTTAAAGAAAAATACCGGACATGTGCATAATGTGTTAACCACAAGGACCAGCAAGCCAATTTTGAGTGATGCTTTATGAGAATGGTATAGTTAAAAACAATAGCCGTGTTTCGATGATTGATGTAGTGTAGATGGAGTTAAGCGATTACATTCTTCAGTATAATGTCGGCGTAAAGTATTTAGAAAGTTATCTAGTCCATCGCTGCTTAGAGTTGTAGAGAGAATAGTGAAAAGTCACTTTGTGTTCAGCGGCTTTCACCTTCAAGTCGTCTACATTTGAGTTTTCCCACAGGTCGGGAATGCAACGTGCGCCCTCCCTTTAAACTGAGCATGCGCAGAACATGTTGTAAACAATGAGACTATTCCAGACCGTCTTCAGCTTTGTGTCTACCCAACAGTTTATCTGTGCACAACTAACAACGATTTCGCATAGTTCCTCGTATATGAAATAAAAATGTCCCGTGGTAAGTATAGGTGCACATTTGTTACTAGATGTCATCACGTACACTTTGATTTTTATCGGCATCATCACCACGAAGACGTATCAAATTTGTTACGTTACAGCCCGAAAACCCACCTCGATGACATACTTGGGCGTGACAGCATGCGAATGAACCGACTATTATTGTTATAATGTATCCAGGTTTCTATGTATTTGTAATGGTTAACCTCCCTGCTACAATTGCGTGGTTTACTCTGTGTAGATTTCCATCTGAGCACTTTCCCTCATGCTAGCTTTGTCAGGCACACTCCCCGGCTGCTAAAGCTGACTTGTGGGTTAGCAAGCTAGCTAGCAGATGCTAGTCCAACATTAGTGTGGTGGGTTCTGATGTTGTTATTTGTTGGTTAGAAATATGGGTATTTCGATGTAAGTAGCACCTGCATCATTTCATTGCAGAGACTTCCATTTGAAAAAGACTTTGTAGCTGTTTAGCACACACGAGCGATGTAATTGTGCAACCTACCTGGAAACGCTTGACACTGAAGGGCAAGGGTTTACTTGTCTTGCAGTCTGTGTTATATTTTACAATGTGTGGTAGCTTTTAGTATGCAAAAGATGGGTAGCATTTAATGTATGTGCATACAGCTGTTTAAGGCTGCTGGATTGCTAATTTGGGGGCAATATAGTGGAAGGTACGTTAAAAGCATACTAAACTCAATTTGTCATTTAATTTAGTGTTTTGCTAACGTCTTGGTTCAGTATTAGCTTTATGATTGATGAAATAAAGTTATGCATTCAGATGGTCTAAAGGCAGGTGGTAAACATTTTTTTTTTTTTTAAATGTATGATTGTTATTAATAATTAATGGTAGTGGAGCTGTACGGATGAGGAAACATATTAGCAAAACCAGAAGACCAATATTTATGTATGTTTTTTGTGTCTAAATTAGATTTATTATAGTCTGCCTAGAACTGTCATTTTAAATTGGCATTCTCAAGTATTGAAGAAATCATTCAGGATTTTTGATTGATTGATACAGCAGAATTATATATTATGATTCTTGATATTTAGTTTAAAAAATCTGGATCGCTAATAACAAACTAATGCCAAGCATCACATGGTGGTTCATTTTAATTAACAATTACTGGTCATAATTGCGTGTATTGTAATGTGTGGTTTGTTGTAGGGAGCTGAAGCATGGAGGCGGTTCTGAGCAGGCTGAGGGGGCTAAGTGCTGATGAACTGCGTGAGGAGTTTACCCGAGCAGACCTCCAGTGCGGCCCTATCACAGCTACCACCCGAGCCACCTTTGAAAGGAAGTTAGCCCGAGTCTTGGCTGGGCCAGAGAGCAGTGCCACTGAATCGGACAGTTCTTCAGCAGGCGTCTCGGGTTATGTGGCCTCCGTTGCCGAACATGCCAAACCTGTGTCATGTGCCACCTCAGCAGTTGCACCCACCACTGCTGCAAGAAGCAGCAAGCCCACTGAGACTGCCAGTGAAGAATTGGACTTTGGCTATGGTGTGGGTCTCAACCCTCCAGACGAAGAGGAGATCTCAGAAAAGACGATCTCAGGCAGCGCTGCTGAAGGCAGTAACTCTCAGTCCAAAACAGAAACCCCTTCAAAGTCGGCACAAGTTTCTCCAACCTTTTATTTTGGAGTATGTCCACTGTGGGAGGATGTTTTGGCTAGAAATGGTAAGAGCCTCATCTTGTTACTTTGTGTGGTGTCATACAGACTTCAGTGTTACATATTGAGTTTGTAAAAGTTACATCTCAGCTCAGAATCGCGTGCATGGTCTTAATCCCTTAATTTTGGAATATGCAGGAAAAAGTTTAAATGAGTGTAGACGATACCTTCAAAATGTGACTAGACCTCATAATATGTAGTTGTAAATTCAGCATCATTTTACACAATCTGAATTTATTCCACAAGTACTCAATATATTGATTATCAGTCTAAACATAAAAATATAGTTGTAAAATTGAAAAAGCCTGCAGGTTACCACTATTCAGTTATATCATCACTTGATATCAAGAACTCAGTAAGGTTAGATTAATAATATAGTTTTTGTAATGCATAAATGTATGTTTTGCTGTCCGAACACTTATACAATCAGGGTATTGGTAACTAATTCAAACAATTAATTTATTGGTGTGCAACAACACCATTCTGGTTTAGTTTACTGACCATTGCCACAGGTTCATAAAGACAATTTTCATCTAAATGATAGAGACAATCAGTTATTTTGCTGTTACAATAAAATGCCAATACTAAATAGACCATAGAATTTAAAACAGAAGAATTGAATTTAAATAACTTAAGATCTTGCTGTTACACTGGAAACATACATGTTAAATATATAAATTCAATTCAAATTATTTAATCTTATCATTTAAAAAAATTACCCAAACATTTTGTGTAACTACAATAAATGTAAATTCTTCATTCATTTCGTATTGCCTCAGCCTTAAAGAAAACACACAAGCTATTTTCTCTAATAAGTTTCACTTTTGGCTTTATACTGACTAGAGGCTAAAGTCCGCCTTAAACGAATATTATGTTGTTTGTTTAATCGTAATATCTACTGTGTTGTCCAGTTTCTTTATTTGTTTAGAAGTACTGGCTGCTGAAGTAGTCTGACATCCACATGTGTTTGCTAAGTGGATGAAAACATTTGTTGTCATTTCTTTGGTGGTAAGCAGCAGGGCAGTAGGATTGCCTGACCTCTCTGGAATAGAGTATTGATCTAAATTAATCTTGAGCTACCACAAAAATCAATGCTGGTAATGTTAATCTGTCAGGGCAGGTTTTTATTGCCATTTCGTAGATCCTCATCAAAATATGACTTTACAGGCTGACTGGACAAAAAGAATGCAAAAAAAATTCCCTCAATTACCAGTTTAAATGCTGCATTAACAAACAGTAAAAATTAAACAGCAACAATTAATCAGGTACTCATCATGTAGAAACATTGAAAATGTGAAATAATAAGCTGATTCTGAGACGTGTTTTTTTTCTGCAGAGAGAGCACATGTGTACACAGATAAGAAAGATGCCCTTCAAGCTGTAAAGCAGATGAAGGGAGCCCGCTTCAAAGCCTTCCCCAATCGCGAGGATGCTGAGAAGTTTGCTAAGGGGATCTGTGACTATTTCCCTTCTCCCAACAAATGTACACCCTGTGTATCTCCTGTCAAACCAGGCCTGGTCATTAGTAAAGGTAAGTAGATACGATGTCTGAGACCTCTGTAGAAAGGGCCCTAAAATACACATATATATATATGTATATATATATATATTCAAATCATGTGACCAAAACAGAAAAACAAACAGACGCATGGGGCACACCAGCCCTTAAATATAAAGTGTTTGTGCCTGTCCTGTAACCTGGGTGGACCACAGAGGTTGTTAGACAGAACCATTCAAGAAGTCGTAGTTGGAAATTGTTCGGAAAAGAGTAGGCATTTTCAGAAATTACTCGCCAGGTGATTGGATGAACCTTCTGTCTATCGCAGTACTTCCTCAAAGGACACTTATTGTAACCCAGCTGCCTCGCAAGGTTACCTGTCCTTCACTCTATTCTCCCTCTCCACACCAGACAACATGGAGGTTGATACCGTCAACCGGGAGCGAGCCAACAGTTTCAAGAGCCCACGCACACAGGACCTGACCGCCAAGCTGAGGAAAGCTGTGGAGAAGGGGGATGAGGTGGTCTTTAGCGAGCTGGTGTGGACCAACCCTCGCTATCTCATTGGCTCAGGGGATAATCCCACTATTGTGCAGGTGAGAATTTAAAGTTAATTTCTTTGTTCAGGTTGTTAAACCAGTCAAACAAAGAGGCAGCATTGTTTGAGCTTGTTTTTGCAGTTTTTCACGCTCTGTGGAAACTCCAACTCATTACTATTAATAGAGATGCATAGCCTTTCTTGGAACGTTATTTGTTGATACATAAACGTCTTTTCTACATCAGCGCCAACCTTTCAGCTAATGCCCTTGTCAAGTTTGCAGTTGCTAAGATGAAGACAAACATGACCGTGTGTGTGTGTGTGTGTGTGTGTGTGCGCGTGTGTGTGTGCGCGTGTAATGAAGGTTTTTCTTTCTTGTTTGTCTTAAATTCAAAGTTTTAAATCAGTCTTTAGATGTTGGTATTTTAAACTTGCAAACTTGATGCTACTACTTTTATAAATACCAACTGCTGTTTCTAATCCCTAGTCCTAAAAAAATTAAATAAATATTGGGTGATACATCCCTAACTTCAGGAGGTGAAGTTCAGGTCAGATGCTGCTTTTAAACAAAATGAAGCACCCTTTCCTGTTGACAGGAGATTAAAGAGGATTGTGTCCTGATCCATAGAGTTGTTCCCTTGTTTTGTCTGGTTAGGAGGGCTGCCGGTACAATGTCATGCACGTGGCTGCCAAGGAGAACCAGGCAGGAATTGCCCAACTGCTGCTCGACACCTTGGAAAACCCAGAGTTTATGCGGCTCATGTACCCAGACGACCAGGAAGTTATGCTGCAGAAACGTATCCGCTACATTGTAGATCTTTACCTCAACACTCCAGATAAGGCTGTAAGCTCTTTTACCATACCAGCTAAAGCAGATTAAATTATATTCTTTAAACATGTAACATTGTATCTTGCTTTGTTTGTCTGTATGTTCCAGGGCTTTGAAACACCACTTCACTTTGCCTGTAAGTTTGGGTGCCCAGACGTGGTCAATGTCCTGTGCTCGCATCCTGACATCGATAAGAATTGCAAGAACAAGGATGGCCACAGGCCATGTGATGTAAGGAGTTTTTTTTTTTTAACCCTTATTTATTCAACTTAGTAACATGAACACATAGTGAGAGAACCTCCAACTGTGGGTTATTACACAAAGTATTTGTGAACCTGTACATGTACGTATGGAAGCTGTCTAGCAGCTGCTCAGCTTTGCACAGTACTGCTGAACACTGACATCCTGCCAGTCGTTGCTGAGGGAGGTAGAGTTATGCTTACCCAGGTTTTTGAAGCTGTGACCTTTTAGCTTGCTTTTTAAATCTTTTGGCAGCAATCACTCACTGCACATTGAAGGCTAAACATAGATGAGCATGAGCAAATTCTTTCCCCAGCTAATCCAGCAACAGTTGTATGTTGTCAGCTGTACATACTGTATCCTCAATTGTTCTTTTTTTTTCTTTCCACAGGTTATTTGTAGCAGAAAAAATAAAACACAAGAAGTGAAGCAGAAGATAAGTGACTATTTGGAGGGTAAGGAAACACATTTCTTAAACCATTACAGGTTATTATTCCTATTCTCACCTGTTTCCTGAAGCACACCGACAAGTGCCATGTAGTGAACTGCTGATTAAATATAAGCAGCATGTTACATCATGTAGTTTGAATTTGGCTCTGTGCCTCAACCTTGATGGGTTTTTTTTCTATTTATCTGTCCTGTTTGTCATGGCGTGAGCCATGTTGACTGATAAAGCTGAAAACATCATTAGTAGGTTAAGGTGCTATGGACTGGTGTAATTGGGTTAGTGTGACTTTCTGTGGGTGCTATTGAGTTAACAGTCAGTCTGAGGTGTGAAAAAGAAAGAAGTTTGATAAATCTGACAGTGGCAAAGTAAGACTGGCACTGCTGAATTTGGTGTGTGAGCATGGCATTTGGCAAGAAGTTCAGCATACTGTATATCTTTACTCACTGTTTCAAGTAGACTGCCAGCTTAAGATTTGATTCCCACTGGTGCCAGCCTCATTGAAAATGAATGCAGTTGGGTGCCCTTTTGGAGTGTGTGCCCTATGTGCCAGCACTCTGTCCTTGCTGTGGCCTGGATTTGATTCTGGCCCGTTGCCCTTTGCTGCGGCTCATCCCTTCTCTCTCTCCCCCTCTTCCTGTATATCTTTAGCTGTCTCTATAGAATAAATGTCCATCGAACATGTTATCTAACCTTCAAATTGTCCGTTGTCTCACAGACCGCTGCTATATTCCTTTGCTGAGGGCGGCTGACAACACGTCTCAGCCCATCATTGGTGCTCTGTGGTCACCTGAGTCTTCAGAAAGTCTCTCGCTGATCCAGCGTCATACAAGAAGCCCTATGGATCCAGTGATGACTGTCACAGCCTTTGCTGGTCCCTTGAGCCCTTCTAAAGCAAGTTATTTTACCTGATTGCCTGTCTGTGCCTACTCAAGTCCAACACTACATCATTAAAACAATTTATTGACCAGAACTTCTCGTTTCTCCTGCAGGCAGATGATTTTCGTCGGTCCTGGAAAACGCCTCCGAGAGACCGGGCAGAGCTTTTCCACCACATTCTTAAATCTGATCCTGACCGTGGGGCAGAGAGAGTGGGCAGGTAGGTCCAAAACATTACTCTCTACATGTATTACTAAGATATTTTGACCCAGTTGAAGGGTGACACTACTGGGCTTATTGCTTTTGATTGTGATGAAGATAATAAACAGGAGGAAATAGATTTTGCATGTCTGGTCATGTACTACACACCCTGGGATCAAACCTGGTTCATCCTTTGTTAAATGTCATCTCCACTCTCTCTCATAGAACATTTTTGCTTACCTCATTGATATAAATGGGGTGGTCAAAATAATAAAAACACCTGTTAGTATAGCTCAATACAATTCAACAGCACCACAAACTACAGCCTCCAAAATGACAATACAGTTGATTCAACACCTCCTGAAACTTTTTTTTTTGTTTTTTAAACTAAACATTGTAACTGTCATGAAAGTAGGATTTATTGTAGGGCCGTTGTATTAGACTGCTTTAGTTTTAGCTAAGTGTAACAAACTGGCAACTTAGTGCAATTCCTTCTCCACTTCATGCAGTTAGTACAAGGAGAACGGCAACAAAATGAATCTGAATATAATAGTTTGCCTTGAAAGTATCAAATTAGTAGTTGGCTGAAGAGCACTGTTGAATAATGTGTAGCATAAGAAAATATTTGATATCAGGCAAATATTAAACCTATATTATTCCTTCTCCAGCAACTATGATAACACCATTTTTGAAATAATACAGAGATCTGAATGAATTCTTTGTTAAATAATCTAAACAATGAGTCTCTTTTATCTACAGAGACCTGGCTCATGTGATGGGCCACCCATGGGCTGAGTACTGGGACTTTCTAGACAGTTTTGTGGATCTGTCGTCAGCTGAGGGGCTGCGCAAGCTGGACGAGTACCTCAGCAAGAGGGATTTCAGCCCTCTGGTCCATGAAGAGGCTGGGGAGAATGAAACCAGCAACAGGTTCAAAACCCCCTCTCCAGGTACCTTCACCTTCTTTACAGTTTATCAGGGAAGCTACTTGGGAATCGGACTAGTTAATTCAGTCATGGAAACAAATGACTGAATATCCTGGAAAGAATTTATGTTGTCCTGAAATGTTTTTATTTTAGCCCAACAGATTGCCTACATAAACCTAGGTGTGTATTTTGTCTAACACTCGACTGTCGATGGTCATATCTACATGCATACAGCCTATACGTTATCAATTTTACGTTTGTTGTTGATAAATACATGCACAGCAATGTTAATTGTATGTGCAACAAACCCTTTAAATGTCCCTTGTGTAACATTTAGGAGGCTCTATTGGCAGAAATGAAACATAATATTTATAGGCACATTTTAATTGGTGAATAATCACTTGAATATAGAAATTATGTTTTTGTTACCTTAGAATGAGCCGCTGGTTACTTTCCATGAAGCCCGCTATGTTGAACCGCCATGTTTCTACGGTAGCCCTAGAAGGGACAAACACTGGCTTTAGATTGGGGTGCTTTTCACTGTCTCCTTCACGCTTGGAAGGGGAGGTTAAAATTAGGAACTTGCAATCTGTAACTACACCACTAGATGCCACTTAATCCCTTGGACCTTTGAATTTCTACTTCTATTAACTGGCTAATAGGAGAGAAGAGATCTTTTCTGTAAAATAATTATTATTATTAATTTATTAATAAACTAGGCCTTGTGCTATCCTGTATTGTCAAGAAAAACTCCTGGAAAAAGATTTCTTTAATAAAGTGGGAACCCTGTCCAGATAATTCTCCCTGATAGTTTATTCAGTCGCCTGTTACTTGGCATTGTATTGTAATCAGTGCAGTGCTTTCATGTGTAGTTTCTTGTCAGATATGAAAAACACAAAGCTTAGTACAAAGCTACATAATCTCCTGCAAAGAATTATATGATAAAATGACATCGTAATAATGACTAGTTATATGTCTGTGTGGGGCATCCTCCCTGCTTGCAGGCAAGCCCAAGAAGTTCTGCAACTCCATCTCTGTTGGTGCCTTCCTGGACGAGGGGGATGACATCAGCCTTGAGGAGATGAAGAACCGTCAGAACGCAGCACTCACCAGCATCACCTCCTCTGCTGCATCCAAGGACGGCCTGAAGGGAGCAGTGGGTGGCCGTGAGTTTCACATCCTGCCCATCGCACTGCACCACCGTGGGGCCGACCTGATCGAGACGGCGGCCGAGCAAGACCTGCTGTGCTGCTGCGATGACGGCCTCCTGTCGCCCGGCGTAGTCTGCAAAAATGGGGTGTGCTCCTCCTCCAGAGATAGGACTCACAATGGAGACAAGGTGACCCCTCGCACCTCCCCGTCCTCCTCCTGCCTGCTGTCGCCCATCTCCAACCTTATGGTGGAGTTTGAGCGCATGTCGCTGCAAGAGCCGCTAGACAGCCCCACCACCAGCTGCAGGGAGAGGAGGAGCAGTGGCGGGAGCCGCCACAGGGATGTCCGGGACTCCTCCTCGGCCACAGACCTTAGCTCTGGGCTGAACCGTCTGTCTCTTGGTCACAGCAGTCAGGACAGTGAGACCGTTGAGGGGCCAGGCTGGAGAACAGAGGGAGGAGGAGAGACAGAGGAGAGGCGCAGCAGTGGCAGCTCAGAGGAGTACTTTGAAGTAGAGGAGAGTCTGGAGGTGCTGGGCAGGACTAGGGGGTCAGTTTCAGGGGGGCGCAACTTCTGTGCTAGGTCCAAGTCATGGGACCACGGGGGAAGGGACCTGAGCAGCTCAGGATCCTCTGGGTCCTCCTATAAGTCCTTAGATAACTCCAATGAGTTCCTACCCAGGACCCCACCGCACATTAGAAGAGGACTTTTCATTGAAGGGTGAGTCACACTGGTTTCTTTGCAAAGGCCATAATGGGGTTGTCTTACATGTTGAAGGAACTTGAAGCTATTCAAACAGAAAATTTCCCAGATAATATTTTACAAGATGGTGATGATGTGTCACAATATTTACACTTGATATCCCAATTGGAAAGAAGCAGCGAGTTTTGTCTAATATTTCAGGGGTACTTGTATTATTTTAGTCCAGACAAGTTTTCTGTAATACTAGTTGACAAATGCTTAATCAGTTTACAAAAAAAACAATGTAAAGGCAGAATGAGAAAAACTGTGTATAGACTCAAAACTAATCCAAATAATCCCCTTCAATCACCCACTAGTAGTGTGTTGTGGTGTCTGCAGAGACCCGTACTTTCTTATTTTGCTGTGTCTGGGACTTTTCTGGGCGTCAGCGTTTGTGCAGTGAGTGTGTAGCCCACAGCCAATAATAACCTGGGTCGGGACTCTATAAAAACGACCAGATTCCAGATCTTAAGCATCCAAGGGGGCTGGTGAGGAGGTTCCAACTTTGAATGTAAAACAAACTGCAACAGACAAATCCTACTATTTCTGCTCTTAACTGCTATTAGGGAAATGTGACAGGCAGCCAGATACAAAAAGGGTTGATGATCCCCCAAACCTATGACTTACAATCATGGTAATACAGTATATTAATCTTGTGTGTTTTTACAGGGATTCACCAAGCAAGTTGGACAGAGAGGTCTGGTCAGCAATAGAAGGCATAGACGTCGATCCCCAGAAGTATCCCAGCATTCAGAAGTGGAAGAGCACAATGAAGTCGTACTCTGGATCAGACATGCAGAGGTTAGTCGGCTTGGCTGACATTTTATTGCAATGCATATTATTTTCTATGGATGGTTTACTGATTTTACTGTGTGTTTATGGTGCCGTCCTAGCCTAAAAAGTGAGGTTCTCAGTGGCTGATTAAATCAGATTAAAGGTTAAGTACTGGAATACTTATTTATTGTGTGGGGAAACAATTCAGCTTCTGAGTTCCTTTTGTCAGAGAAATGCATGGCCATGATATTATAGACTACATTTCACAATTTCAAAGTTTTCTAGATACTGGCATGGTAGATATACTATATATATAGTAGATATAATGCTTCATGCACACATTTACTGTCTCTCAAATATTCCTGTGTTGAAACGTAAAAGCTTTGAAACGGTAATCAGTTTGTCTGTACCGAGGTTGTTAATAGTCTTCCTACACCACACTGAAATGACTTCTCTGGCCAGCCATCTAAAATGGTTACTATAGGTGGACAATACTGACTACCCGATACTTCGTACTTCAGTCACTTGTTATAGGGTGTAATACTCTAGTCACAAGACATTTTTAGGAATTAGTAGTGAGGTGCCAGCCATTGTGAAAGAGTTTGTGCTCTTCAGGCTTTTCATGAAGTAGTGTCAGGTGCATGCAGACAAAATCAAAAAATGGAAGAGGCTCTAGATGCAAAAATTTGGGTGCTATCATCAGCACCAGCATCAGCGTTCTATGACTTGTTTGTCATGTTTTGTCACCCTTCACATATGAAGGTGAGGTGTTGTTTCAGTGTGTGGGCAATAAATCTGAAAGAGCATGAATCAGCACCAGGTACTGTAATTGTTCAGTCACTGGAGTTGATAAACAACCATCTCAACCCTATGTAGCTATAACTGTACTAATCTTTCCTTTCAGTATTAGTACCAAAAGAGCAATGCTGTAAATGTAATCGCTGACTGGTGTTAACGTGTGTCATCTAGCTGGCCCAGCCCGGCGGTGGTAAAACCACGACTCAGGATGCAGCATCAGACTCCGGTCTCTCCAGTCAGCGGCCTGATGTCTCCCACCGGTCGCTTCAGTCCAGCCCGGCACGCCGCCTCACCGGACTTCAGCCCCAGCCGTTACAGCCCTGCCAATGCTAGCTACATCCAGCGCATCCGCCTCAAGCACTTGAACGAGCCACCAATCTAACTGCCCACGGCTCTCCTGCCTCCCATCACTTACGGCCATACCCTCTCCAAGATCCCACCCTCTCCTTCCCACTACAAACCCAGCTGCACCAAGGTGGCTACACCAGAGCTCAGAAACCACATACCTAACAGAAATATGCACAAGTGTCTGGAAGATTTGTATTAATGATGTATGGTACTACTCCTATGTAATACAGAAATTCTCATCACGTTGGGTTGTGATGTACACTCAAGACTTTAAAAAGGAAAAAAAGAAACCTTGATAATTTATGTACTGTATGGGTGTGGACCATGTTGAATTGACGGTAATGTTATTTGTGGCAAGTGTGAAGCACCTGTATCATAGCCTGAGTCAACTTTTTTGAATATCGTGAATACAAGTCGCACTCCCCAAAGTTAGTTCATCACTAAAACCTTAGTGTGGAATCCTCAATAGGATTCTCTCACTGAAGATGTTCTTAAAAAAAGTAAAATGTCAATATTTTAAAAGTTATTTTTTGTATGTTGGTCAGTAGCACAAAATTTAAATGTTTTTATTAATGGTGTTAAAACCGACTGCCATTTCCTATGTTTTCCTCAGTTCAGGAATTGCCTTAATTTTCTGAAGTGATGGACCAGTTTCTGTCAGTTTGGACACTCTCTAGTTCATACATGAAATATCTGGAAATGGCGACCTCACTGGCTGCATTGGTCCAGATGATTACGGCAAACATGGGAAAAACTGATAAGACTGAAATCTTCCATGTTTTTTTTATTTTGTTCTTTAATAAATGCATACATTGTCCATCTTTTCTCGGTGGTTCCTGGACATGTCTTGACTTTTCCTTTCTGCCACTACCTGTGGCCTTAGACTGTGCAATTTTTATTTTTTCTCTGAAATATCATTCATTCACAAGCATCTCCAACAGTGCGAGTATGAATGACAAAACACACCCATCAGTAAGTGTAATTTCAAATTTGTCTTGCCTGGTCTAAACCTCAAAATTACCCGGTCTGGGACCACCTTAAAGCTGTAGTAAGTGATTTTCAACCACTAGGGGGCAGAAAGACTCCAAAACTAACTCAAGGGTAACAGAACCCTGATATAATTATGAGCTTATTATGACCATCTTGTTAACAAAAACATGCCTTACACATACAGGGAACCCAACGGAGTATCTGAGTAGATGGAGTTGGGTGTTAATTCCCAGTGGGATCAGCAGTACTCACACCCTTTTCACATTACAAGTAGTTTGATTCAGTGTTAATTTAAAAACTAGCACTTAATAGAGCTTTAATGCCCAAAGTTATGTCATGAATCTCGTAGGTAGTTCAGACTGGCTTAAAGTAAACTCGTACACGTGGTAGGTTCTTGCAGTTCTCCAAAACATGGTGGAATTAGCACAATCCTGCTGTATCCAAATTATTTACAACTTTGAGTTAGAGTCACTGCTGTATGAGAGTTTATCAGCTATGTCTATGACAAAAATAGCCAATCATTTTAAATATTCAGATTGCCACTCTACTTGAGAGAAACCAGTGTTCTGAATGTAATTTTTTTGTGAACTAAACCTTTATGTGAGAGCACAAACTACTTCACTGAGAAGATTGTATTGTCATCCTTGTGCTCTCAGGTGACAACAGATCTAATTCTGGTCTCTGAATGTTTATGAATGTGGAACTTTGCAAAAATGCACCTAAAAAACTTAAAACATGCTTCTTGTGCTTTCAGCATTCTGTGCTTTATTAAAAATTAACTTTCATGGTGAATTCTCTTTCTGTATGTCTAGACTTCATTTGCTTTCAATTAATCAATAAAAACATCACTCCTACTTTACTGCCAATGTGTCTATGTGCTTTTTCTGAAGATAGTTCAATTTATTTTAAGGAAAGAAATGTTGACAAAAACTGAGGCAGTCATTTTATTTTATTTACTATAGCTGCACCATACAACACATAAACCTCGCTTCAGCATACTGTAATGACATAAGCTGAGAGCAAGAGTTGCATTTACAACAGCTATACAAATACAACTTTTTTGGTTTAAAAATCAGTCGTGTAAAAATCCTGTTACATTCAGGAGGAGTGGCTATGCAGCTGTTAAACACTTCTGCTGGCGTTCTATGGCACAGACGTAAACGTAACCACAGAGTCTCTCATTACATGATGGAAGTTCAATTACAAAGTAATAACAACAGTAATTTTCAAGACACTTAAGGAGAAAACTGAGCTTTGACCCTGTGACCAAATGACTGGGCACCAAGAGTCCCAGAAACCTGCGATACGGTGGGCCATCAGGTCCGTGTTAGTTTGTCCGGGGGCATGAATCCCGAGTCTCCCAGAGTTCTGAGGGCCACCCTGCCGCTAGGGCGGATGGTGAGCCACGTGATGCTGCCGTTGTTCAAGCCCATACGCAACCAACCCTCTGCAGGGAACTGCAGAGCCCTGAGAGAACAAAAGCAACATATCAGCAGCTGAGAATGAGCATCTGAATACTGGATCTACTTTACGTGGCACTTAAAAAACTAATAATTTCATTTGAGGGGGACACCGTCTTGTAAATAGTAGCACGGAGTATTTGAAACCCTTGTCATATTTAACTAAATGTCCCTTTTAACCAGACCCAAAGGACATGCAGTCACCAAGAAAAGGCACATGGCTGTATGTAGCAGCTAGAATATTTAAATTAAACAAGAATTTTCATTTAAGGATTCTGTTAAAAGCACAACGACACAAGTGAAGCACATATTCAATAAAAAAAAATTGACACATAATTTAAACACAATGGTTTTGCAAAGCAAGAAGGCCACACTCTAGCCTCGGCTGAGCCGTGACCACCGAGACCGCCGGCGACACAAACCTGCAGACAAAATAACGGATGACATTGGCATGACACACGATGATCTCGTAGCTGTCCTCCTTCTGCTTGGGGTCAGCCCGGTGGATGTAGCGGCGGAAGGCTGCCTCAATACGCGCTCCGTCTTCGTGGTACTGCTGGAGGATGGTAGAGAGGTTGAAAGCCACCATTGTCACATGAAAGGATTCTGTTTGAACCCCTCAGTCAGTACAGAGTCAATACATGATGCTGCTGTGCATTGTAGGGAATGTATGAAGAGTTTCATTCCAAAATGAGGCCTACTATATGGAAAACGTTACTTCTACTAAAGGCTGAATCAGCACTGCTGCATTGCTCTCTTTAGGCAGTATTAGTGGTTACATTCACATTAGTGAATAATGAATTGTGTTTTAGAGTAAGGCATTACTGAATCCTACATGGGTTGTTCATAGGATTGTTCCATTAATAATTCTGTTTTCATGCAATAAAGCAAAGGTCAGGACAGTGTCTTGGTTAATCTGGCTAATCCACAGACCTCACTGTCAGTTTTCTTTGTAACAACTTCTCAGTGAAAGTAACCAGGGAAGTGAATCTGGAAATATTGAATATTTATTTGTATTTGATTTCAAAAGGTGTGAAGAAAACCGAAAACTACCTGCATGGCTAGAGAGATCATTGGAGATCATTTTGCAGTTGGGTAAACCAAAGCCTTCATGTCCTCAATAATAAAAATAACATTTACCAACGGATTATATAACAATGGCAAAATGCCCATTTAAACAAATACACTAAAATAAAAAGCTGCCAGACTCTTTTAAATGTTGGCATTTTGGAAAGTAACTCTTGCTATGAGCCATTCCCGTGGCAGTGCACTGATGTATTGGCAGATTTTTGCAGCTGTAAGCCTTAACACGCACTTGACAGGACACCTGCACACACATAGACAGCAGAAAGTGACCCGAACAAGGATATGAAAATATAGAAAATCCATCATGCTTACAGCCCGCTCTAGAGGTAGAGTGGGTGTAGCTTTGCCTCACCACAGCATCGGGCTTCCAGTGAGTGACAGGTGGAACCGGTTCAATAGGTGCGCCCTCTCTCAGCAAATCACAGCTCAACAGCTCCACTCCTGGACCCGTATGACAGTTAGGGCGCAGGGAAAATATTTTAATATGCATTTGTGATGTTCAGCATTTCTACACCAGCTTTAACTGGTGATGCACTAGTCTCAGCTTGCTAAACAGGAAAAAATTAACAGGATGCAAAAAAGATAAACAGAATATGATTAGCCAACGTATCTTAATTGTGTTACGTACGTGTCAAGCAGATACGTATGTAAGAGGGAAAATGTGTCATTTACAGCATTGTGGAAACATTGTAATTAAATCTTTTAAGACTTTTAACTATTAAGGGGCCAAACACAGATATTTGAAGTAGCATATATGCTGGCCAAAATTACATAGGTACATTATTATTTCGTAATCGTTGTGTAATTTGTCCAATAAAACTATTTTACACCAAATACCCATATCAACTCAAAATTAGCAAACCAGAACTAAAAAATTACCATCGGGAAAAAAGTGCATCAATGTGAGAAACCAAAAACTACTTTAGCTGAGGACTGCTTTTAACAACCACAACTATAACTAAATATATGAAGGATGTGGATATACAGCTAACATCTAGTACACACTGGAGCTGAAAAACAAGATTACACCAATACTTTCAACCTTAGTTTCAGCTGGTTTTGTTTAACTGATATTGTTCATATAAAATTAATCCTATGAAAACCCATAAACTGAAACAGTGCTTTGGGCGACAGAAATAAACTTCTATCCACTACCTGGGAGATGTTTGCTGATGATATGTGCCGTCTCTGTAGCCCTGGCCATGCTGGAGTGGACCAGAACATCATACTTCAGTCCCAACGCTGCCAACCGCTTGCCCGTGAGCTCAGCCTGCTCACGACCTGTAAATGGAGACGCAAAGGTCATTATAACAAATGGCTGGTCTGTCAGAAACAGCCAGCTAACAGAGACTGCAATGCTGTAATACTATCAGAGCCAGAACTGCAGCTTATGTGCTCTGTGTTTGACTGAAATTACTCTCCAGACTGCTGCCTGGTCAACTTTCCAGGTGACATAAGGGCAGATAAGGACCTAATGGAGTGAGGATCCTCTCCTTGTCGCTGTTCCCACTCAGGTTGTACTGGGAGTGTCTGATGAGGAGGATGTTGCGCGTAGCTTTTGGTTTGCCGTTGTCCTGCTCTGAGCTGGGGTCTTCAGTTGCAGTCTCTTTCTTCTTCCCATTGGTCAGTGTAGACGGGTCTCTCCTGAACAGAGTTAAGACGAGGTGATCTTGAGATTAGAAGTGGCTTTGTCTGACATGGTTAACTTGAGGGATGGAAAACTAGGTTAACAAAACTATGATTGAAGATATTTATCAGTATGATAGTGTGAGGAACTTCCACACACCTGGACTCAGTTTTAAAAACTGTATTTGTTGCTCTTGTAAACAACAATAAGGTTCATTACACCCTCACACAGGTTTATCACCCTTAGATTCGGTATGGATCCAATACTTCAATTCAATTTCGCAGGATATTAAAATGTAGTCCAATATGAACTTCCACCCAATTCAACCGTATCACCATGGTAGACAGTGTATTATTACATTGGTATATATTTGACAGAGATGTGACGTGGCGTTCAACCCATATAAAAGCTACAGGAGGTAAATGGAGGTAATGTAACAGTACTAGGTTAGCCACCTTCAATAACCAAACAATACGAGACAACGCGTGCAGAGGGGCTTACTTATCCCAGTTGAAGTCCCAGGAGTGTCCAGTCGGGGCTGGTGTGTGGCTGGCAGGTGTCCACGCCGGCTGCGCAGCTTGAAGAACGGTGAATCTGGACCACCGACTGGCCGCCTCTCCGCGCTGCTCACCGAAATATCCGCGGGAGTCGGCGGCCGCAGCCGCGAACACGAGGACGGCAGAGCCTCCAGCGAACCCGCAAATAAGTTTAAAAGTCTTCCTGTACGACATCCTGCGAGACGCCGAAGAAGCAAACTACTGCTAGCTAATTAGCTCAGCTTAACTGGTTTACCGTGAACAAGGTGTAACGCCGTCCTCCTCACAAATAAATGGATTTATTTCGCTGAATGGCGTTTCAGTGTCAACTCCAACTCCAGCAAGGGAAACAAAATACGATTTTTGTGGTATAAATATCTAACAGGCGGCGGCTCTTGCCCAGAAACTAAAAATACAGCCCGGCACAAGAGATAGCAAGCTAATCTAGACAGTTTCCCACAAACATTACGGTGGCTCGCCCCAGCCAAAACACTTGGCCTTTGCAATTCGCATAAACCCCGACATGTGCCACTTGATGGCGCTCTAATCCCTAAATCCACAGCAGTAGCCCTGATTACTTTCCGCTCTCTGTTAGTGGCACTGTAAGCTCCATTCAACATGTAATGTTTAAGCGGGGCTAATTATGTTTGAGCTCCTGAGACACTGGTTTACAGTTATAACCCGCACAAAGCGACACATATTCCCGGCTCCTTTCAGTAGTTTATTTTGGTGATAGAGGGCTGTGGATGTAATGGGTAATGTCATTTTATAGATGTCCGTTGGTATACAATAACCACACCGAATTTGAGAGTGGTCGTCGACCCTTTATAAAAAACCTATCATACATTGTTTGACCGTGTGTGTACGCGTGTAGGTAAACAAAGCAACAATAAACCGCCAGATTGTAAATGAAGTTTGGTGTTGCACTCACACACTGCAGTGCAGCTTCCAGACCATTGAACAGCTATACACTTAAGTCCTCTTAAACTTCGGGACACTTTTTGATATTAAATTAATTTAATATACAGTTACATTGTTATAGCCTGAGAGCATTTGGGAGAGAAGTAGATTTTTATATATATATATATATATATATATATATATTCGCGGAAACTCCGGTTAAGATAAAAGAAGTGCAGAGTGACTGTGT